CTTTTTCTTCTACAAGCAGACAGAAGGATCACACAATAGCAATATAACAAACTCCTAGAAAGTATTCTTGAAATACTCAGTTCTAATAAATACCAGAGACCATGTTCAGATTTGGTGTTGAAAATGTTCTATCTTCAGAAGTTCTTCTGAGTATCATGCTAGTAATTTACCCAAGAGTGGGGCAATTATATAATGGTGTCCCTTTTCAGTCTCTCCCTTAAATAATAGAAAAGAGGTGTCATGTAAAGTGGATAGAATATGAATTTTGTGACCTCAGACAAGTCATGACTCTCCCGTCTCAGTGATAATCCTACTCTGTGATTGTGTGTAGGAGGTGGAATGCTAGGGCTGGCCGCTTTGCTCACTCAGTAGAGCGTGTTGCTGATAACACCAAGGTCAAGGGTTCTGATCCCCATACTGGCCAGCTGCCGAAAAGAGAATAAAAAGAGGTGGAATTCTATACACCTGTAAAGAATTTCATTTTGACCTGTGTTTGCTCCTCCTTCTACTCTATGGTCTTATGAGGATCTCTGCTGCAAAGCACTAAGACTTAATAGAAGAGAAAATTTAGCAATCTAGAATTTACTCTGTGGTGTTTGAGGCAGCAACGTAATTTTTAAAACCAAGTTTAATATCATTCTAGCCAGAAGAGGTAAAGCATGCTGTCCTGGTTTTCCTTTTCCCTGCTGACCACTCTTTCCAAGGCTGATCGCCTTGGCCTCACCTTATCTGTGTGATCTCTAAACACCAGATTGTCCCAGAATTCCGTCTTCATAAATGCTTCTCTTTATTGTATTCAGTTGGTCTCATCACTTTAAATATGCAAGTGACTTCCAGATTTTTACCTACAGCTCTGGACTCACATATCCAACTGTTTCCTTAATATTTCCACAGGGATGTTTAATAAGCACCTCAAACTTATCATGTCCAAACTATACCTCTTGGTTTTCTCCCCTACCCCACCCAGGCTTCCCCATTTCAGGGAGTGAACGTCATGTCCCACCCATCATTTAGGTCCCTGCCCAACTGTCATCTTTTCTGAGAGGCCTTCTCTGCCCATGCCATCTAGAACACTCCCTGCTGCTCGACTCTGCAGTCCCGACCCTGCCTCTCTCCCCCATCCCTGCTCCAGGGTGACAGGAGTCCCACCTGTCTTGTTTACTGCGGTGTTCTCAGTGCCTCAGAGGATGCCTGGCTCGTACTGGGAGATGCATAAATAATATTCATCGGAGGAAAGAAAGAGTGAATGAGAATGAATAAACAAAGCAATTTAACCAAGAATTTGTTAAAGATGGAGGTAGGGTGAAAGACATTAGTTAAGTTCTAGGCGTTGTCCCTTCAGTTGTTTTTTTGATCTAATTAATAAGTTTTTTAATTTAGAAATTTTCTTCTGTGAATTTTGCCATCATGAACAGCTGGAATAGTTTAGGGAACCTGAGGAAAAATGTTTACACTTAAGCATTTTTGGGGTCTGATAGAAGCAGTTTTTGATGGAAAGGTATTTGCTAAGGTTCAGTTCTTGAGACTTTAAATGCAGTACTTGATGATCATCAAATATTTACATAGATTTTCAAGATGCAACAGAATGTTAATTATTGCTTCCCAGTCACGGAAGTCCATGCTGCAGTTCCCGTCCTTTCTCCCCTGTGAACAGTGCAAGTGATGGATGTAAAGGGCCCACAGATCTGCTTCCAGCACCTGCCGTTCTCAAGCCTGCAGCGTCTGGCTGCGAGAAGGATGCATGCAAGGAGCTGACTTTCTGAGCATTAATTTCTTCCACCAGGAGATCAGTAAATGGACCCTTCCACCTGCTGCCATCCACATTTGGAATTTGGTTACATCACTGATTTTTGCTTCTGCTGGATGAATTTTATAATCAGTCTCAAGGAGAAAGAAGATGGCATTTTTCATCACTGCTCTGCCAGCTTCTGTTTGCAGGGAGAATTCACTGCATCCAAATTCATAGGGTGACATTTTCCTCCTTTGCAAATTGATGAGTTGGGGAGCCTCACGCTTATGAAACATTGGCTCGTTATTCTTTGTCCAGAATGTAGATTGTGAATTTGTGAAATTTTAAAAACACAATCTCATTCGCAAGATGAATAAAGAAACTACAGTGCCATCTGCTGGCTTAATATGGAAATGCAGGCAATGACTAGGGTACATCTAAACCCGAGGATAAGACTATTCAAAATGTGTGGTAATTTGAAGAAAATAGATAAAAATAATGAAAACATTTCAAGGAAGCATTTTAGAGAGGAAAACACTTTCATGTGTTATCATAACTGTGTATTAGTGAGAAGTTTTTTTCTGCAGTGTAAACTTTGACATAGTTTTACTATATTAAACATTCCCATTGGCAGAAAGAATGAAAAATGGGTTGGGAAAATAGAAATGAACCTTTTAATTTTTCAAGGATAGAATTGAGGTGATTTTATATACAGTTCATCCAGATGAAGAAAAGTAAGGCTGGTACTGGAAAGAAGATGGGGCCTGGGTCTGGTCCCTTCTTGGCCTCCGAGTAGCCGTGGAACTGGGGGTCTCTACCTTGATTTCTGCAGCCCACAGTTTCCTGTAAACGTCGGATCTGGGTTAAGTGATTGGTAGAATTCCTTGAAACATGATAAGGTTTATTGTTCTAAAACAGCAAAGGACTAAAGAAAAGTGTTGTTTCTTTAGACCATTTTTCCACGAAGCTATTTCTTTTAGAGAAAATAAAAGTTCACATACGTATTTTTCACCTTATTACATAGTTAACTAGTTTTATGAAGAGCAAGGGAAGCTTGACATATTTGGTCCTCAGCAATTAGGTCAAGACTTTCTTAGTCCTTAGAGTGAGTATAAAAATACCTGTGGGGCTTCCTCTGCTGTAAGTGGTCACCTGCCGAGAGCGTGCTTCATCCTGCGTGCTTCATCCTGCGGTGGGTCATGGCCAGCCGAAGGAAGGGGGAGGGATGCGTGTCACCATGACTCATGGCTCTGAGTTCAAAATGCGACGGAGTAAAATTTTTTTAAAAAATTAAGAATCCAAACAGCTTAGATGCGATTTCGCTTTGAAGGATTTCCTGCCGTAATCCCCAGCGAACTGGCCAACTGCTTGTCCCTGCTGCCTTTTTGTTCTGCCCGTCCTTCCCTGTGGCCCTGAGATTGTTGCATCTCCTCCTCCTCCTACTCCTCCCCTCCTCCCCTTCCTCCTCCTTCCTCCCCTTCCTCCTCCTTCCTCCCCCTCCCCCTCCCTCCTCCACACACTACTTTCTTCGTGTCCATCTCCCTCCCTAACCTGTGAGTCCCACTGCTTCATATTTTTCCATGTCTCTTACTCGTGATATTGTTCAATACATTTGGGCTAAATGATCTAAAAATTCTTAATGGCTACCTCGTAAAAGCCATTCAAGTAACATGTTTAGGTGTTTTCATTTTCGCATGGATAGGAGGAAGGAGAACGGACCCTAGATACGTTAGGTGCAGTCTGAGGATAGGGTAGATTTTCCTTACATTTCTGTGTTCACAGCTCAGCAGTAGAGGAACATAACGAGAGTTCCAGCCTAGCTCTCGTGCCTGCAGCCGTGCCTCCTGCTTCTGTTCTTAGCGCCCACTCTCCGCTAATTGACCACAGAGATCTTTCAGATTTCCATGCTAGTCAAAGAGTTCTCCTCTCAGACTTGAAGGAGGATGGTGCCTGTAGGGCCTGGGCCTTCTGCTCTGAAGTGGCACCAGAGGTCAGCCAGCCTCAGTGCAGCTATGCCAAGGGTAGACTAAAGGTGGCTGGACCTGAGAAAAGCCCCCTCCCCTCTCTGGTCACCTTAAGTTCTCCAGGTCCTTTTACCTGCAAGGTAGGCAGAAAACGACTGTTAGGTTTTTCTGATGCTCTGCTTCTCTTCCCTAATTTTTTCAGTGCAACTTATATCTGACCTCCCAACCTCTGTCTCAAGCATTCAGATGCTCAGGAGTGTTTTGCCAGACACCTCTTCTGTCTTCCTTTTTGGCTGTGAACTTGTAGCTAAGATTCGGGTGTTTCTGTGCTGTTGCAGGTTCATTCTTTCTGGTTTCCATCATCAGCGAGCCCGAGGACACTGAACTTGCCCTTTGAGCTTTGGATCCACCTAATGAAAGACCTTCCTCCAAGCTTTACTCTTTCCTTTTTGAGACAACCAGTTTTTAACTTTGGTTTCCCTGCCTTCTTGCTTTAAGTTGGAATTTGTCCAGATATTTTCTAGAGAAATACTTAATTAACTGGTTTGGGGCTGTGTACACTTTTAAGGTTATTTGGGTTCATCTGTATCAGGAGTCATACAGTGGCAGCCAGGGGGTAGGGAGTAGGGTATGAGGCCAGATCAGTTGCCCAGACATGTTGATTTATTTGCACACATTTCTAAAAACATGGGATTATTTGCCATCACTTAAAAATGTGGAGCTCTCATATAAAAATGCAGATTTCTGGCTTCTGTTTGAACTCTGGAAGATTGCCAATTGGCAGCAACCAGCTGGAAGAGCTCCTTACTGGCTGCCCAGTCTGTTTGGGGCATCCAGTCTGTTGCTTGGTTCCTTCCCCTTCTCCCACCACATTCTTATTTTACCTACAGGTGGCCACTTGACTCACCTGCTGACCAGGTGGCATTTGTGGTGCTGAGTTTATATTTTCATTATTATTCTCTTTCTGTTTTCCACTTCCACAAGAGACTTCTCAATGGTAGCAACTTGTAGTTAGTACTTCACAGAAACGAAAGGAGCTTCAGCAATCCCCTAGTGAAGTCTGTCTTCTTCATTTAATGCAGGTGTTACGCTAGAGTGAGTCGTTAATAAATGTTGACTCATGGCACATGAATCTGTTTCTAGGAAGCCAGGAGACAAGTAGAAAAGGCCAGTGGTAAATATCCTATAAATATTTCCCTGGCTCTGCTAAGTAATATTGATGCTGGGTCTCAAACTAGTTAGGAGGATTTCCAGTTCTCCCACAAAAGCAAGGATCTCTGGTAATCCAATTTGTTTTTCTTTTCTAGGAACCCTCTTCACAAATCAAACTCAGACGACAGTTCTGTAGGTCAGTACCATTTTTCTTGATTTAACTGATTAATTATTTTCTTTTAATAATTTATAGAAAACCTAAATGTGAAAATACAAAAACCACAAAGAACACCGAGAAATAAATACTGTTAAGATTTTGATGTACAACTTTTTTCTCCTTTTTCTTTCCCTATTGTGTGGGGTTTTTGCTTTTTTTTTTAGTGTGTGGGTTTTTTAAAACCATAATTGGGACCATATTCTCCATACTATTTTATATAATTTTTCAATAGAATATGTTATGAGCATGTTTGCACATGATTGAATATTCTTTACAGTAAATTTTTTAAGTTTGCACAATACTCTGCCATACTGTATGTGCCATAATTTAATTAACCAATCTCTTTGCTGGACATTTAGGTTGTTTCCAGTTTTTTCTCTGTCATAGACAAATGATGCTGTCATAAAAATTCTTCAGTCTATGTCTCTGATAATGTCCTTAGAATAAATCCTTCAGTTTGGAATTTTGGATCAATGATAATGCACAATTAAGGCATTATCTATTTCATATGTCCTTGATTATTAAATCCAGTCTTGATTTAGTAACAGCTCTTCTATCTGATTCCAAGCATGGGTGGGGAAAAGTGATTAGGAGCATCGTGCTCCAATCAGGCTGCTTGGACTTGAATCATGACTCTGCCAAAACAATGCTTATGACCCTGGGCTAGTCACTTGCCTCTCCAGACTTCAGTTTCCTCATGTACTTAATGGGAATAATAATACATCGTATGAGTGAGTATTAAGTGAGATGTACCATCAGATAGCAAAGTGACTAGATAGTAAGTACTGAACAAATGTTAGCTATTATTGTTTATTTAGGCTGCATCTCCATTTCAGAAACATTAAATTGGGAGAAAGAAAACTTATAGTTATAGAAATACATTATATGCCCAAATTGCATATAATGTATTTGAGAGAAAGATTGAATTTAGGAATAATCAGTCTGCTTTAACCCTTCATGGCTGATACTTGCTTTAGAGTTTAGTCTGAAGGCAGCAGGCACCTAGAAACTTGACGTCAAGATCTGGGTCCATAGAACGTCTCAGGTTGAAGGGCTCTGGTTTCATTCCCATGGCTCTGGGGGTTGTCAGAACTTAAATGAGGACATCCTGTTTTGAAAAATGATGCCCTTTCTAGCCTGGGAGTGCTGTGGATGGGGTTTCCACAAGCATAGCTTGGCACCACCAGTCTAGACTGTGGAAACCCATCAATTTCCAGTGGCCATGGAGCAACCAGACAGGCACTAAGTGGTGCCGAAGCTGCTGCTTTGAGTGTGCCACGCCAGCAAGTGGCAGATGTCACTGCTGCTGCTTTTTATTTTTAAAGAATAAAAGATTGATGTACTCATTCGCCCTCTCCCTTTGCTTTTTAAAAGGTAATTACCTAGTATAAGGGATCAGACCCCTACCAGTATTTAAAATGTCTACCTGTGGCAGTGAGTTTGTTTTCATATGAAAAGCACCCAAAATAGTCTGAGGAAGATGGGAGATTAGAGGGAGACTCAGCTAGTAGATGTCCCAGCAGTATTTGCAACCTGTTTTTCTTGTCATTGCGTCCTGGGGAAGATACAGGTAGGTCCCCAGGTAGCACAAATGCCAGACAGGTGGGAATCGTGCTGCGCCCACGCCATAGCTAGACCCATGCCAACTGCACAGCCTAGAGAAGCGGTGCCAGCCACCCTGCAGACCCCTGAAACCAGCTTTGTTGACCAGTGGGCACACGATGTCACCACCATTCTGTTCTCTCCATTAAATCTGGAGTATCAGAAATAAACCAAGGGTAGATCAACAAAAGAAATAACAACAAAACTTTACTTCTTAAAGTATCCTATTTGTGGTGCAGCTGAAATAGTTGTGGCTAAGACCAAAGGGGGCGAATATACCACAAGACGAGGCAGAATTAGGCATCCCAGTTAAACAAACATCAAAGTCAACACAAGAATGCACGTTTTGCCTGCCTTTTTGATGTTTCTTTATTTCTCATCTTCACCCCACTGCTCCATTTCTTGCTACTAGGAAATTTGCATTTCTTTTAAACAACTTTGTAGGCATTTCCCAGTCTTTCACCAACTGGAAAAGAAAAACTCTTTTTGTGAAATCAAAGTATTCTTCCAAGCTTTGAATTATAAGGAAGAAGCTACTTTTTTTATTAATGAATTTATTGCTTGTGCCCTTTCTTTCTTTCTTTCTTTTTTTTTTTAAGGAAAAGGAGATTGGAAGAAGAAAAATAAGCATTTCTGGCAGAACTTTCGAAAGAACCAGAAAGGAATAATGAGGCACACTTCAAAAGGTACCGTATAGCAGCTGGCGGACAGTAGGTCCTTTTAGCTCTAAAATGTTAAGAAGCCTGTGCTGCTGATCTCAGCGGATGCTGCAAGTCAGCATAACTCATTGTGCGCATCCGTACAGTGTTTCAGCTTTCCTGACATTCCTATCGGTACTTGTCCCAACAACATGGGAAGAGTTAGCCGTCCTTACTTTCCAGAGCTCTGACAGCAAGGGCCAAATCTTTAGTTTTCTCGGTTACACCAACCTCGAAAAGATCTTTCCTCTTTCCCCATCAAGATCTAACCTAAAAGGGTCCAGAAAGTCTTAGCATTTCATTAGTTTTGGACCCTCCTGTCCACTCCCCTACTTGGAGCCTCTGCAATCTTCTGAACTTTTGATGCTCTTCTGTGGCAGGGACAGTTATGGGGTTGTTGCCCCTGGAAACTCTCTTTTGGTCTGACATCATGGGAATTTGCCCAGGCGCTTTGTGAAAGGGGTCTGCCCTGCTCTTGGCTGTGTCTTTTGTTGTTGTTTATATAGTAAGTAAATATGTCCTCCCTTGGCGGCCCAGTTACATAATTTATGTTTCCCCAGCATTCAGAGAGGAAACTGGAACACAACCACTTCCAGATTCCAGTCTGGCTGAATAAGGTTATCAATTAATGGGAATTTTTTGTTGGCACCAGTGACACTGTTTTCCTCTACAAACTCCTGGTGTCCTGCTCTGCACAGAATGCCTCTCCAATTATTCATAAAAGAAAAATGGACGTGGACAGCTCATACGCCAGGGAGACACCTGGGTTCCTTGGCGACATTCAGTGTGGTTCTTTTTTTAAGTTGTCTTGCTTTGAAGGAACTATTCTTAAGCATTCCCAGTTTTTCCTTTTGGTACACACCCAGGATCATTTATGATTCAAAATAAACCTCGGATTCTGATGAAGTCTTACTTAGAAAGAAAGCTAAGGAGAAAGAGAGGTAAAGAGAGGAGACAGGGAGAAAGACAGCAGTTTGCCACCAGCTCACGTGGTGTTTCTGAAAACCCAACCAACTCCCCGTCACCTCTTCTGCTATTAAAGGCAACACAGATAGTAAATGAATGAAACTGGCAGGCTTCTGTCCTCACCCAGCACATGCTATTACTCTTCCTGTACAAGAAGATGAGTGGCAAAGGGGACCTGAGAGGTATTTCTAGACCGATTGATTATAAATGGAAACAAGATCAGGAAACACAGGGAAACATAAATTCCCAGGTAGGCCCTCCCTGAAACAGGTTCCTACAAGTCAACAGCCAGACTCTATTACTCTGTCCCTCAGCAGGCATCCTAATGACACTAGAAGCTAGTGCAGTGTGAGGAGAAGGGTGATGGACGGGAAGGGGGGTGTCTTCCCAGTCTGCGAGGGACAGCCCACTGTCACAGACACCCTTCCCCACGCCTGAGCAAAGGCTGCCTGTTGGCCGGCATGCTCCCACATAGGGGAGGCAATGGCAGTCTGTTCACTTTGCAGGGAAAGACTTTAGAAGGAACGTAAGGGGGGGGCTTTCTTTTCCTCTGCAGTGCTGGCTGCCTTTAGTTTTGAGTTGGAAGTTGACTTTGCCTCACAGTTTGGAAACCTATTGGTGGCAGTAATACTTTCAGATATAGGCATGTACAGTGCCTTCCTTCAGGGAGCTCAACATGCTTCATTCCATGATTTATTTATTGCTCTTATCCTGTGAGGAACCACAATGGCCAAATAGCTTAGCAGGAATGGAGGGTTTTACCAGGCTGTGGCTTAGACAGTGTGACCTTTCCGCTGTCGTGACTGAGGGGCTTGCTCCCACTTCTCTGCAAAAATATTTTCTTCTCATGCGTATTTCAAAAGGAAGAATGAAGAACCCCCAGCCAGAGGAGCCGTGGAATGCTTGTTGGATCTAGTTGGCGTTTAAATGACATCTCTGCCCTGCCTGTAATGAGGAACTGCCTGTCAGCTTTCTTCCCAAACTCCTCCACTAGACAGATGCTCCATCTCCAAAGCTCTGATCATTTTGAGGGATTGATTTCTATTGTAACATCCACACGTTCTTGGAGCCTGTTTCCCAATGAGATGTGCTCACTGGCTTCCTAAAAAGCAGCACGTTTCTGCTACCCTGTTGCTCCATCAGTAACATATATGTACATTGTAGATGGTGCCCCTGAGTGACGTCCTTCCCCAGCCCGAAATGACACTTTCAGGGCTGGCATTCATTCTTGTTTTCATTCCTGTGGTTCTTTGTCCTCAATCTCCAGGAGAAGACGTTGGATACGTTGCAAGTGAGATAACAATGAGTGATGAAGAACGCATTCAGCTCATGATGATGGTTAAAGAAAAGATGATCACCATTGAGGAGGCACTGGCCAGGGTAAGAGTGCAGGTGCTTGTTTGTATTTGTGAGTACTTGGCCTCCTTACATTTAAAAATGTTCGGGAGCATCAGAGGATATAAGAATATAATATTAAGAGTATTGTTTTGCTGATATTTTAGTGGCCATTAGGTACCCATGTAAATAAAATGTTTATTTCATTCTGTTTACTCCATACAAGCATTTCACCTTGTAGGGTGAAGCTCCCATATTCAGTGACTGCATGAATGAATGAATGGCAGATATTTTTGATCTGTAGACCACTTTAATGAGGAAAATGACCCCATGAAAGCCATTGCAAAATTCATAAGCCATTTGAAAAGATTGATAAGAATGTAATCAATGGTAAAATATTATTAAATAAAGATCAAATTAAATGAAATTCATTACAAAAATTATAAACATCAGTTCTCTGAGATTCCTCACAACCCAAACTTTGAATAACCTAAAGATTAAGCTTCAAAGATATCTCAAAATTTGCTTCCTCTACCTTAAATTTACTTAAAAACATCTTAAAATTACTCATATCTAAGTAAATAATAATTGCAGTTTACTGTCTTCTTTTTTATTTTTCTTTGAGTTAAATTAGTCACTAAAAAAAGCCCAAGTAACCTTTAGAATACTGGAGTAGCATTTATGATAGTGAAGCAGCAAATTATGAAGAAATCTCCTGCTTTGCTGTTGACCAATAAGCTGACTGATTCTTCGATTTTCACTTTGAACAATTGGCTTAGTAATGTGCAGACAGGTTGTAAATAGGTAGGTTTAGAAACTGCGAAAACCTTCATATCACTAAGGAACCATTGAATGAGTTACATCTTTACCAATGTCCTAATCCATTTTGCGCTGCCATAACAGAATGCCACACACTGGGTAATTTGTAAAGGACAGAAATATATAGGCTCATGGGGAAGTGTAACATCAAGGAGACCCCTGGAAGGTTTGGTGGCTGGTGAGGCTATTCTCTTCTCCCAGGATGGCGCCTTGCACACTGTGTGCTCTGGAGGGGAGGAAGACTAGATGGTCACTTGACAGAAGGTGGAAGAGCCAGGAGGCAAAAGGGGACCAATCTTGTCCTTTTATAACAGTGTTAATTCCACTCAAAGCCCCACCTCCTAACACTGCCACAAATAGCAACCACTTTTCTTTTCCTTATTATTATTATTATTTTTTGTGTGTGTGGCTGGCTGGTTCAGGGATTGAACTCCAGACCTTGGTGTTATCAGCACCATGCTCTAACCAATTAAGTTGATCAGCCAGTCCCCTGCAACCAGATTTCAACATCAGTTTTGGAGAGTACAAAAACTCAACCCATAGCAACCGTTAAGTGGACTCTTAAAGGTCTGAAACCTTGTAACAGTGACAAGCATACTCAGTTTATTTTCATGTACCTCACTCTAAGCTTCAATAGTTTAAAAACAAAAATGTTTAATTTGATGATGAGAGAACATGCAAAAAAAAAAAAAAGCACTTACGAGGGGCGGAGGTTGGGAGTGGGTTTAGCAGGATACCTGGGAGCCAGCACCACCCTGGGACACCCATCTGCTGGCTTCCATTTCTTGATTCAGAGACTTCCAGAATGAAGTGGCAGCAGTGGCAGGAATGGTGTTCCTGGACTTAACTGCAGAGGAGCAGGTTGATGTTTGGGCAGGTGATGGAGCAGGTGACATGTGCCAACCTTCTGCCCATGTCACCTGCACCTTCATCCCCATCCTGGTCCATCTGCTTCACCATGCGGTCGACCACCTGGCCTAGCTGCCGGCTGGGGCAAAAAGTCCACCATATATTTTCTCACCAATCTCATTCCTTGGCCATGCCATAGCATGTAGGAAAGGTTGAATTGAATTCCTAGGAAATGCATATGAGAAGTATGGGCCTGTATTTAGTTTTACCATGGTGAGCAGGACAGTGCCTTATATTCTTGGGAGTGATGCTGCTGCACTAGTGAAAGTGAAGATCTGAATGAAGAAGTTGCCAACGGTCTTCTCACAACACCTGTGTTTGGGAAGGAAGTTGCATGTGATGTGCCCGATCTGGTTTTCTTGGAGCAAGAGAGAATGTTAATAAGTGGCCTTAATATAGTCCACTTAGACAGCATGTTTTCTATAACTGAAAAAGAAATAAAGGAATACTTAAAAAGTTGGGGAAGAAGTGGGAAAAAAAATAGTTTGAAGCTCTTCCTGAGCTCATAATTTTGACATCTAGCCATTGTTTACATGGAAAGGACATCAGAGGTCAATTCAGTGAGAAGGTGGCACAGCTTGTATGCAGATTTGGATGGAGGTCTCAGTCGTGCAGCCTGGCTGCTTCCTGGTTGGCGGCCTTTGCCTAGTTTCAGACATAGCCACAGAGCTCATCGAGAGGTCAAGAATGTTGTCTATCAGGCAATCCAGAAATGCAAATAGAAGAAAAAATTGGTGACAGTCTCCAAACTTTACTAGATTCTACTTACAAGGATGGGCGCCCTTTGACAGGTGATGAAGTAACAGAGATGCTTCTGGGGCTGCTCTTCTCAGCGTAGTGTGCATCCTCAGCTAGGTCCTGGGTGGACTGCTTTTTAGCCAGACACAAAGCACTTCAAGGAAAATGGCATTTAGAACAGAAAACAGTCTGCAGAGAGGACTGGACTTCTTCAACTTACAACCAACTCAGGTATTTAAATGGACTTGATTGTTGTATAAAAGAAGCATTAAGACTGAGACCATCTGTAATCACCATGATGAGAATGGCCCAAATTCCTCACACTGTGACAGAGTATAACATTCCTCCAGGACATCAGGTGGGTCTGTCTCTCACTGTCAATTAAAGATTTAAAGACTCATGGGTAGGACATCTGGATCTGAATTCTGATCTATGATTACAGGACAATCCATCAGGAAATAAGTTTGCCTACCTGCCATTTGGAGCTGGGCATCATTGTATTGGGAAAAAAATTGCCTGTGTTCAAATCAAGATAATTTGGTCCACTATGCTTCATTCATAGGAATTTGATCTCATTAATGAATGTTTTTCCACTATACGTTATACAACCATGATTCATACTCCCGAATACCCAGTTAACCAATACAAATGAAGATCAAAATGAAAAAGGCTGTAAAGAATTGATAAGTGAAACATCACTGTAAGCTGCAAAAACACTTGAAGAGAATTTCAGGTTTACAGAACAGCTGTCAGTGTACTGTCTTTGAGCATGAAAATTAAAAAGATAGCCAGCTTATCTTATGATTTTTATATTTTGTTAACTGAACGGTTTCATCCAATCTAATGGCATTTCAAACATTTTTAAATAGTTTTATGATAGATACTTAGAATGTAGGCTGTAAGGGAGTCAAGCTCATTAGTAAAACAATTGTTTAGGGGGATCTAGGTAATCACCAGATTCTAAATAACACAGTTGCCAGGTACTAATTTTAAGAGAATAGCTCTTGGCAAGTAAGTTCAGGGTATTCAAATCTTGTACAAGTTTTGCGAGGTGCAGAAAGCCCAGTGAGATACCTGGAAGGTATAGGTTACTCATTTGCCTGGGTAATTTTGTGTGAGTGGGTGGGTGAGGATAAGAGGGTAAGGAATAAACTCATATTTAAAGCCTTGGATAAAAGAGAGTACTAATTGTTTAGGCTTATTGATACATGGCAGTGATGGAACTATGTTGTAGAAAAATATGTCCTTTGAAATTTCAACTGGAAGCATTGTCTAGAAAATGAGAGAGATCTATGACCATGACTTAATACTCATATATTCTTAAAAATATGTAATGATTAATACTAAAGACTGCTCATGTAATGTGATCTAATTACCAAATATCATATATCTATCCATCTGAGAGGTACATGTCTGGTTCCATAAATCCTAAGTAAAGTCCTTAGGAGAGTGAAAACAAAACAAAACAAAACACAACACTTAATGTTTGTCATTGTTGCTGATGCTTTAGCACTGTGAACTTCAATTAATGCTAGGTGTCTTCTGTAAGGTTTCCTCAAAGCAGAGCCTGAGATGGGAATTGTGCAAGTGGCTTATTGAATGGAGGCTTTCAAGAGAAATCTCTAAGTGTGAGAGGGAAACAGGAGGGCAGAGGAAGAAACTGGACAGACATATGGTGTCTGTAGAAGTCTAGGCTCAGCCTGATCCCACAGGGAGTGGGGGGGTCTGGAAG